GAGTCTCGCTCCGGAGGGCACCTTGCCCGGGATGGAAAGGGGTCAACCCGGGAAGGGGGGGATCGGTTTTGGAGGTATCCCCCCCATGCCCTAATCTGGAAGGCTTGCCCCCCTTCCAAATGGGGAAGGCACTCGGGGTATGCCCCGGAACCCTCTTGCCTTTTTGGACAATGGGGTCGTGGCTGTTGTTTTTCCTAAGAGTTCCTTACGAAGGCAAGATTTTTTAACGGGTGTGGGGTGGGGGGTCGGTGGGACGCGGAGGATGAGTCTCAATCCGGAGGGCGTCTTGGCCAGGCTGGGAGTGGTGGTGTAGCAGTCCCGGAGAGGGGGTCTGGTTCTTGGCGTGTCCCCCTCCCCTCAATGCCCTAATCTGGAAGGTTTGCCTCCCTTCCAAATGGGGAAGGCGCTCGGGGTATGCTCAGGAACACTCTTGTTTGTTTTTTTTTTGACAATGGGGTTTTCCGTGGCTCTTGTTATTCCTAAGAGTTCCTTACGAAGGTGATATTTGAGGGTGGGGGGAGGTTTATTGGTGGGCGAGGAACGCTTTTCCTCCTCTCGCCTGCTAGCTTTCTCACGCTTTCTTTCGCCTTTCAACCACCGCCCCCCCCCCCCGCGCTTTTTTCCCCCCTGCTTTCCTGCGGGGAAAAGTGTGATTAGCAAGCTCACACTCTGGCCGCGTTCACACGAGACGCCGCGGGTTAGAGAGGCTGCCCGGAAAGGTTTGAGCACCGCGCGACAAGCCAAGGTTAACCCGACAGCCGAGGTTCGCAGGTGCGGTTGGGGGTCTTTGCACGCGTGGGGTCCGGCGCTGAGCCGAGCAAGGAGGCAAGAGGAAGGAGGGGAGGGGGATGGTGGAAGAGCGGGGGGGGGAGAGGCGATTTTGACCCCTCCCTCCCCCCCTCCCCCGCAGGAACGGGTTTGGAGGAAGCAAAAGTCAAAAATACCGCCTGGCTTCTGGATCGAATCCGCTTCTCTTTGTTCGCCCGAAGGAGAAATCGGGATTTGGGTTTGACCCGTTTCAGACATGAGTTTGCCTGCGTTTTAAGGCAACCGCTCCCCCCCCTCCCCAAGGATTTTGGGCGAGGAGGGAGTAAGAAAAAAGAGCTTCTTTGCAAAAGGTTCTGCACCTGCTTGGCTAGCAAAATGCTACCTGCCCGGATTGTGTGCAGCTGTGTGTGTGTGTGTATGTGTGTCGCAGCTGTGTGTATTTATTGAGATTTTTTTTAAAAAAAAAAAAGCAGGATGTGCTTTTGATCACTTGGATAATGAATTCCTGGAGCAGGTGAGACACGGAGCCTCTTCAAGCCAAGGATTTGATTCCATTATTAGGGATGGGATTTTTTTCCCCCCGATTCTGCTGCTGCTGGTGGGCAGTCTTAGAAATGCAAGAGGGGGTCCGGAGAGGAGAGAAAGGAGGTGGGTAAACCAGGTCATATGTTATTTAATAATAATAAAAAAAATACATATTTCTGGCTTGCCTGCCAGGTGTACAAAAAGGGTCGTTTAAAGAGCAGGGGGAAGTTGCTGGGCTGTGAGTTCAAGGAAAATCAGAGAATTAATCAGGAACCGGAGGGATCCTTGCTGCTCTCTGAGCTTGGTTGTTTTCTGGCAGACATTTCATGACCCAGCTAGGTAGTGGCATCAGTGCTAGGAGGGAGGAGGAGGAGGAGGAGGAGAAAGAATGTGGATTGTGGAGTCCTTGATGCTCTCTGAGCTTGGTTGTTTCTTTGCAGACATTTTATTACCCAACTAGGTAACATCATCAGTGCTGGAAGGGAGAGGAGGAGGAGGAGGTCGTCTGTGGGGCCCTTGTTGGTCTCTGAGCTTGGTGATTTTCTTGCAGACGTTTCATGACCCAGCTAAGTAACACCATCAGTGCTAACCAGAAACTGTAGCGATTGAGGAATTCTTCCTATCCTCCTTTGCCCTAATGTTACCTTGTCAAAATGGTGCAAAGTTGCTGATCAGACTTACTCTGAGCATGCATAAATACCTTCTCAAACGCCCAATGGGAGAATCATTGGAAAATGAGAAATAGGTGACTGATGATCACCTTCAAAGAATGGAACTTCGGATGCTAAGTGAGGCGGTTGTTAAGTGAGTCATGCCCAATTTTACAAACGGTCTTGTAGTGGTTATTTAGCAAATCCCTGTGGTCGTTCAGCGAATCAGACTTCCCTCCCCTTCCCCCTCCCTTCCCCCCCATTGACTTAGCTGGTTGGAAGCTGGCTGGGAAAGCCACCGATGGAGATCACGTGACCTTGGGATGCTACAACTGTCATAACTGCTGGGTTTCCCCGAAAATAAGACCCAATCGGGAAATAAGTCCTAGCATGATTTTTTTTAGAAAGCTTGTAATATAAGCCCTACCCCAAAAATAAGCCCCAGTTAAGATCATCAGCCAGACGGATGCATTGAGTACCGTATTTCCCTGACAATAAGACCTAACCGGAAAATAAGCCCTAATGCGTCTTTTGGAGCAAAAATTAATATAAGACCCGGTCTTATTTTCGGGGAAACATGGGTGTACGCCAGTTGCCAAGCAACTGAATTTAGATCACGTGACCTTGAGGAAGTCTATGACGGTCGTAAGTGCGAGAACCGATTGTAAAATCAATTTTTTGTCAGTGTGATTGTGACTTTGAACCATCATTAAATAAAATGGTCATAAATCAAGGATTATCGGTACTTGGGGAGTGGGCAAGGGGTGGATCCTAACAGAATCAGCTCTGGATAGAAAAAATGGGACCCAGCTTTTTTGGTGTGCTTTGATGTAGGTTTGGTTAAGAAAGAGATAAGAGACGCTTGGGGAAAATCAAAAAACCTGAACTGAATGGAATATTTTATTTGGTCAAGTGTGATTAGACACACAAGGAAATTCGTCTCTAGCAGAGAAGTGCTCAGCATACATGCAAAGCAACAGAATAATAATATTACCAATGAACGGGGAAGTAAAGAAGATAAGGATAAATAATAATTCCGGTGAATTAACGAATTAAATTCAGCAGAGGGATGGCACGTGTGTCTAGTTGTTTTGGCATGCAAATGCCCCATAGCGCCATCCCGAGGGAAGGAGCGGAAACAGATGATATCCAGGATGAATCTCTAAAAACGTACCCCAGACCAAAATGGGTCTGGATTTGGCTGGAATGAGAAGGAGAGCTTCCAGAAAACGAAGAGTCTACCTTTATAGGTGGGGCTATTTTCTGGATTACAGCAAGGCTGGCAAAGTTTGTGTAGCTTGCGTGGTTCATTAACCGGCAGTGAACCAGCTTTCCCTTTCCCGAGGCTCCTTGCTGGATTTTCCTGGTGTCATTCCTTTTAAAAAAATAAATAAACGTTGACACTGCTACTTTTTTTCCCGTAGGCACATTTCATTGCCGTGAAACGATAGTTTTAGCGCTTTGCTCTTCGTTTCTCCCTCCGCCCTTTGGTGGAGGTCTCCGTCTGGGCCAGCGCAAATGGCCAGCCAACTGCTTTGCTTTTCTCATTTGTTTTGGAGTGTTGGAGGAAGGCGGCTATTTAAAAGTCAAGTGTCAGACGGCATCAGGAGAAATAAAAACGAAGTCATCCATCTTTTATGCGGCTTGTCCTCCAACCAACAGTTGCCACCTCCAGCCGATGAGCTCCTTGGGGTGGGATGGATTTTAATCCCTGCCCTCTTTTCTGACAATAACCCTTCTCCCGTGCAGCGGCTGTGGTTTTTCCACTGATTTTTCATAAACTGTAAAATCTCCCTGTTCAGCTGGCTTATGGATGAGTTCAATGGATCCAGCCATTGAGTTTTCTTGGACACGTTATGGAAGTGGCTCACGGTTGTATCCTGTTACCTTGGTATTAACCGGGTCTGAACTTGGTTAGCCGCTGGGAGTCAGCAACCTGCAGCTCTGGAGCCACATGTGGCTCTTTCACCCCTCGGCTGCGGCTCCCTGTCACTCAAAATAGGCGTCACAACAGCCAATGTGCGACACCTGCCGGCACGCGACTTATTGAACTCACAGTCTCCTGGTGATTGGCTCAAAATCAGCCAGATGTCTCCCCTGACTAAGACTGGACTAGAACTCAGTTTCTGGGCCAACATCTTAACGACTACACCCAACTAGCTTGAAGCTGTTTTGGGTCCAGCTGTCTGGGCAGAGGACGGATGCAATTTTATCTCCCGATTTGGAACTCTGCCGTTAGAAGCACAAAAATTTCCAAAGTGCCTTCCAGCTCTGTTCTGAGCAGGCGGTTGATCGGCAGGGAACATCTGTTTCTCCACCCGGTCCCTGCGGTGCCTTGTTCAGCTAGCTGGTCTCTGCGATGGATCAGAAACAGAACTTGGAAATTCCATGTATGAATGAATAGCTGGGAATCCCAGATGGAAATGCATCCAAAAGCTAAGTGGGTTCCTTTTTGTTGTGACGGGACAGGCAAAACATGTGCGCTGAGCGAGGCAAAACCCATTTCTTCATTTTTCTGTTTCTTATTCCAGGACTTCTAACCAGGGTGTCCAATTAATGGGTTGGGATGGACTTCCAAATATATGTGAAGATGCAAATCATAGTCTTTCTGCTCCGTTCTTCTGGGCAACTTTCAGATGTGTGGACTTGAACTTGCAAAATTCTCCCATGCCTGGCTGGGGAAATTCTGCGAGTTGAAATCCACATATCTCAAGCATGCAGACTGGGGAATTCTGGGAATTGAAGTCCATCCATTTGACCAGCTGGGAAATTCTGAGAGTTGAAGTCCACCCCATCTTAAAATCGCCCTAAGTTGAAAAAAAAATACTCTTCTATTCTGTTAAGGAAGGATGTCCGTGGCTCACAAAGATTCACAAACTCCAGCAACTGATGCTGTGTAAGTCTGAAGGAAACCCACTAACCGTGATGGGGACCTACTTTTAAAAGAGGAAGGAAGGGTGCTACATTTTCCCTCCGGGTCGCAGCTGGTGTTCCAGTATCTCCAGGTATCTTTCTCCCCTGTTGCTCTACCTAGGGAGGTGATCCCAGGCACGGATATTTGAGGATTTTTAAAAAATCTGTGATACAATTTGAACAAACTCCGGTCTCCTTGGTGTGATGTATTCCTACGAATTTTGTAAGACGTATTGAAGTTGTTGTTGTTGTTAAAAATAAAACCACCTTCGTGCTTCAGAAGCCTGGATATATTAGGATGAAATAAATGCTTTGGAGATGTGCGCTTTGAGAGGTGATGTTTTCTGATCTTGTGTTTGTAAGAGAACCGATGTGGAAATAGGCACATTGATAAGAAATATTCTTGGAAAAAAATTGTGACAAGTCGGGTCAGAGTAAGATACGTGAGGCCCTTGGTGGTCTCTGAGCTTGGTGGTTTCCTTGCAGGTGTCTCATTACCCAACAAGGTAACATCATCAGTGTTAGAAAGGAGAGGGGGGGGCGGTTTGGAGGTGGGGAGGAAGAGATGGGGAGGAGGAAGAGGAGGAGGAAGAATATGGGGCCCTTGGTGGTTTCTGAGCTTGGTGGTTTTCTTGCAAATGTTTCATTACCCATCAGTTTTGGAAGGCAGTTGGGTTGACAGGAAGGAGGAGGAGGAGGAGAAGGGTAGGAGGAAGAGGAAATGGAGGAGGAAGACTGTGGGGCCCTTGGTGGTCTCTGAGCTTGGTGGTTTCCTTGCAGGTGTTTCATTACTCAACAAGGTAACATCATCAGTGCTAGAAAGGAGTGGGGGTTTTGGAGGTGGGGGGAGGAGGAGAAGATGGGGAGGAGGAGGAGGAGGAGAAAATCTGTGGGGCTCTTGGTAGTCTCTGAGCT